ATTAATTACAAGTAAACAAGTCATTTGCACATGTGATTTCTACTGATATTTTGTTTATTTTGGTCACTCTAATTTTAATAATACTTAACGTTATCAAATCATCAAATATCAGTAGAGACTGCAATCTTCGATATCACGAGACCTTCAAGATTTCGATCATTAATGCACGACAGAGCTCGAAAATCTCATAAAGAATCTCTTTGTTTTTGTAAACGACACTGTAAATTTATAATAAAAAAACATAAATAGTAGTCAGGAGACATAACTCCACTTTTTCCTGTTGCTATTATATCGTGATGCAAACTTGTGAATAATTTCTTCACATACACATTTGCGGAAGACTAAGATGAAATGAACACCAAGCGCTTGAAATTTCATTCAAGCGCCCAAGCTTAAAAACAGGAGCATTCTTTGAAAGATAAAAAACCTGAAATTCATGCATGCTTATTTACATAAGTGCAATGTGGTTTGTTAACTTTGAGCTCTATCATGTGCATAATTAATTTCACGATTTAAGAAAAGGGCCTCAGAAATACTGAAAAGATTAGCCGATGAGCTTATAACTCAAGACGATCTTTATCATCTTACATCCAATAAACCAATCATTCAATTGATAATCGAAACTCTGTCATTGTTTTTTTACATGACAGTCTATATGCAACATTATGAAGAGATCAGGAAGAACTTTCTTGAGTAATTTATCTGAAAACTTGAACTTCAGAAATTTTCAATGAAAATAAATGCTATTTGAAGGGCTGCGTTGAATTATTCATTAGCAAAATTGGTAGCCAATTTCCACTTTTTACTGGGTTAAAATGCTTCTCCTTAAACTAAATTCAAATATGACTTTCATATGTCTAGCGCGTTTTTTCCCTGAAACAACTTTAGATAGCTGCTGCTCTGCTCACAGCTGCTAGTAAATTTACAGCTTCATTCAAAACTGTGCTCACCAAGTGAAAACATGATACTGTAGAAGCCGGAAGCCGTCGAAACTTTGAGTAATTTAGTAATATCAGGTCATCCGGAAATTAGTGACCGTTCCTTACCACGATCGGGCAAAGTGATTATAAAAATTTAGGACATATCATTCGATAGAAAAAAAAAACAATAAAAATGACATTCGCACAATCGCAAAAAGTTTGGTCCTAGCTTGGAAGCAAAACTTCAATAAAATTCGAATACACTCAGATCTCCGTCCAAAAACATTCATTGAAACTCCAAATCAATTTGTCATCCAAACATTCACTTCATCAGACATTCATATGTTTTTGTTGCCTTTTATATGATGAGTAAAATTTGAAAAGACATAACAAAGATATCCAATCAAAGAACAAAATATGAAATATTGGTAATTTTTGAATGAATGAACCCAATCTTTTCCAACCAACAAGCCCTCAAAAGTTTCATATTACACACAAATTTGTTGACTGTGAGTCAACTGTTGGGTTGCCACCCCATACTCTCGTTATATGCGACCGGTTCGGGGTCGTGAATCACAGCCCTCACAATTAGAATTGATTCTCTAAATCGGAATTCTGTTTTGCAGTTAGTTTTTTTTTCTAGTCACGCTGCTTTGGATAACAAAGTTCTTTTCCTCACTTGAGTCATCCCTGGAAATGCATTGGTGTCAGGCGTGAACAACGTGCTATAATACATTGGCTATAAACTGCACACGATTCGTTCCTTTACTTTTATAAATACGTAAAGTATAATGAAATACTTTGCACATTTATGAAAGCTTATAACTTGAAAATTCAAGGGTCTAAAACGATAGTTACATTTAAGAAATATACTGCTCTAACAATTACATCGTTCACTAGCCATGCGACTCGCACAATGACGCAAAAAGGGCCTCGATCTATACCAACCCGTACCACCAACCTGTCATATGGATGACTGATTCACATTGATTGTTGGCCAAAAATCGAAAAAAAATTCAATGATTTTTTTGATCACGCATATTGTAATGCTCCAAACATTCCAAAAAGACTTATTCAATTTTTCAGTTACTCGGATACATTTTGAGGTGTACATTAAATAATCTGTCGTCATTCCCTTGAAGTTCTTTTATCTGCTGTTTACCACGCCAAATAGTTCGTTTGTACCATAGCTTACGCCAAAATTCTCGAAAAATTGCAAATCCACGAGTTTTTCAAAATTTTACTTGATTTGATTTACTTTTATAGAGAAAACATGCTTTTAGCAGTGCCCACAAAACCTGTTGGCATACAAGGTGAGACGAATAAACTCAAAAAATCTCAAATGAACTCAAATAATCTCTATCCATTCGATGGATCAAATGTAAGAGGCTCAGTGGAACTTAGAACTAGTTTGTATAGAGTGTTATGACATGCTCTTTTCTGATTCAAAGAAGTTGATGGATTGGTTGTTGTTCACGAATAATTTGACTCTGAGTTTTTCATTCGACAATTCTTGCTGTTTTGAATAGAATATCTACTATTTATAAGAATATTGTTCATATGCATGAGAAAGCGCTTGCAAGATAAATTGGTCTCCTTACAATACTATTTTTAGATAAAATAGTTTTGGATCAAAATTGCGAAATTTTTGTAAATGTCGCGGAATTCGGCGATTTCGCAAAAGTCCCGGAATTTCGCCGAATCACGCGAATCACGCAACTTACGCAGCCCCATAACTTCTTTCGGAATGAATATATTCTGAATCCAAAAAAAGGATTGTGCTCAGCTCATCAAGATGAATCTCTTGATAAGCGGCATGTTTTCAATAATCCGTTTCCAATTTTCTCAATTTCTTCTGCGGACGTCTTTTCGCAAGGCAGCGCGCATCACACGTAAAAAAATACCAAATGTGTGTACCCATATTGATGCAGACACAAGTATCACACTTTTTTACAGCATATTCTTTATTTTAGTGATAATCTATCAAAAATTGTGAAGTAGTTCAAAATTATCCAAATCGGGACAATTTCTTTCAAAAATCATCAGAAAGCATTTTTATGAGCTGAGAGTTACATCCGTTCATACATCAACAACAATCTAGCCAGACGACTATTTTCATGCACCGATCTGTGGCGCATGTACTTTTGGGACGCGGAGAGGAGGGAGGCTAGTGAAAAAAGCGTAAACAGCAATGCAAGTGCGGCGCGTGGTGTCATGACGCAGCGAACGAGAACAACCATACCGAATGGATTCATTCTTTCTTTGTGCTTCTTGCTAAGTATTCTTCTTTCTTTCATCATTTCGTTACGCTTCAGCCACTAATCTCTTTTCGGACACATATCATGCAGCTTTCCGTTTTGAAAAGCTGATTGATGTAAAAATATTTCGTTTTCTCTCAAAAACCTGGTCACATTCGATAATATTTGCAGAGATGGTTCAATGTCACATATCGATTCCTTTCGACGATGTAATGCCTCGCTTTTTTCTAATGTTTGTTATTATCGATGTTTTACACGTCATAAATTAAATGTATTCGATGATCAACCAACACACACTTTTCGTCGTGGGGTAGTTTGCTGAGCTCCTCCCCGGGAGAATTGGCCGCGAAAATTTCGAAAGTTACATGACTTATAAATTAATGCAGGTAATTTTTTTCATAAGTGATTGAAATAGTTTTTTTTGAAATTCTATTGAAATTCAAATTAGTTCTTTGTTGTAGTGCGGGTTATTTCTTTTATTTCTAAATGATTAAAATAGTTTTTGAATTTCTCAGTTCGAATCATTTTGTGATAAAGATGACCATTTTTCGAAAATCTTGTCATTATAAATCCACTAAAAAGAGGGCATCCCATTTTTTTCGGAGGACATGACTACCGCTACTTTATCAAAAATCCCTTCTACGCTCCCTTCCATATCATTCTCGACCGCCTGGAAGTTACGATGATGTAGCGATTCCACTATCTTCGTTCATAAAAGTTGACTTCGTCATCATCATTTTGCGCCAAGGAAATACCACCGTGTTATTTAGGTACTTGAAACTCGTACATTTTTGTGAGTGAAAGTAATTTTTTCGAATCTACACCATCCATTATGTGTCAATCTCTTTGTAGTCTGGTAGTTCAAGAAAATATGAAAATTTCGAAAAAATTTCTATTTTTGATAATTTTCCTCTTGTTTCTTTTCTAGATTTTTGACCCCTGTCGCACGAGCAAACTCAGCGGAAGTGAGCAAATGGAAAAATGTGTATTAGATGGGAACTCATGAAACATGCAAGCTTATTGAGTTGAGGAAAATTTATTTGAATGAATAAGTCCACGTAGAGTGCAATGGGTTCAGTAGAGATTGCTTGATTGATTCGGTGTAGTAGAGCGCTTGAGCTGAAGTGTGTGCGAAACGTTTCGTGATCGTATTTGTATATGTTACTGGCCTTGAAAAATTACTCGTATCAGTTGAATACCCCAAAAATGGAGATCTCAGCATCAAGAAGTGTAAACCAGTTATCTGAATAACGTAAACTCCCCTTAGATCTACGATGATCTTACAAGGGACGGTCAGAAATGGAAGTGGCCAATCCAGAAGCTGCATACCATTAAATGCAGCATAAATGCTGATTTCAGATCTGTATTCCATATACTTAGCGTCTTTGTGGACGAAGTTATGAGCCACTAAACGGCTTAATTTGCTAAAAAAAAATCATGCATGCAGAGCGCAAATTCGATTGATCAGTAGGATTTAGCAGTACAGAGCCGTACTCGATCTAATGCTGAACCGGTTACCTTTATATTCTCAGAGCCTAAGGGTTGCCGAAAGGAAAAGAAGTTGAAGGTGCAACAATGTGCTCAATTTCGCAATTTTCCTATACGATTTTATCGCAATAAAACCACTCATAACCCCTTCCACAAACGCTGAGCGGATATGGAATACATTTGAAATCGGCGTTGAATACTGCATCGAATGGTAGACAACTTGCTTAGATTAGCAGCTTCGACTTTTTCGACTTCGACGTCCTTTATTTACATTCGTATATTCTCGATCCGTCCATGCATGACCTCACTTTGCTTGCTCAACATATACCATTGCAGCTAATATGCCAGTCATTTATTCTACTACACTCGAGCCCATTATGGAGGATGATAGTGAAATATTCAAAGCTCCCAGTCGCACCACAGAGTAAGGATAATTCGAATTATTTCAAATTAGTTACTTCACCATCATTTTCAGTGATGGAATGTATGGAATGACCGGGACTGGAACGATGATCCTGTTCATTCTGTTATTTTCGATCTCAAATTTCATCATTCTTTGCGCCTTTATGCTGAAGCGTTTGTGTTTTCCCAACTCACGGCCTGGAGTCACGCTTCACCGCAATTTTTAAGAAGAAAAGTTGTGAAAAAGATTTCTTGTGATTTGTTTCCATATTCAAATATATCAGACATATGTAGATGTGTATGTTTGTATATCAGAGAGAATATTTGTAATCTGTGGGCCTTGTTGGATATTTATTCCCTTGATAGTAGTAATAATTTTCTATCCATCATGAAACTAAATAGCTCCCCATGATTGAGTCATCATTGTTTGGGTAACCCCCCTTTTTTTCAATTTACCCCTCAAATGTAAGTAAATCTGTACAAAGCCAACTCAAGATTGATAAAAACAACTCAAAATCAGTAAATTTTTTCAATTATTGAAAGATACAAAATGAAACAATCAATTCTTCTCTGCTTTGAAAATATTATTGTCATTTAATTTCTATCCTCTTATAGTCTGCTATTCTCAATGTTGTAATGTGTTTACTTTACACATGTGATGCATTTTGTGAATAACTAATAAAAAATTGTCTCTCCCTGTCGTGTTCTAACCACCTAGAACTAGAATTCTAAAATATGCTTTAGGTTGTCTAAGGGTACCAGGTGTTTTTGAAAATCGTCAGCACATTCATTTCCAATTGATTTGAGTTTAGTCGGAGATTACCGGAGTGGGTATGTCGTGGGCCTTCTAGGGTTGCTCAAAGAATTATCTTAGTAGATCAATGCAAGCTGATGAAGGGAAATTCATATCGTATTTTATACTTTCGGTCGTCGAAACAAAAAGATCGAGAAGATTCTATTATACTTTTGTTTTGGTATTGTAACTTCTTCATCCTAACAGTAGAGGAAAGCCAGATGTACCTAAGCTTATTGGTTTCCACTTTCTTCGTTAAACTCTATGATTTGTTACAATGAAAATTCCATAATTCATAATTATAAAACATTAACCATACATAGTAAAAAGTAATAAATTGCATTGCTTTTAGTACCACCAAAACTAAATTCTCATGATTCTTGTGCAAGACATGAGCAACCTAATGAATATTTTCTGCTAATTATACCAACTGCACTTTGTTTGTACTGATTCAATGAATCTTACGCTTTTTTTCTTTCTTTATGAAATCGAGTGTCTCTTTTGAAAGCACGCGCTTTCTGGCATTGCAAATATTGCGAACAACTCTGCTAGGTGTCATGTAAGTTAGAAAATAATCGGTCCAGGATCTGTATTAATTCTCAATAAATCGTTACTGCACTATGTAGTAAAAGACGAAATGGATTTTTTTTGCAGTTTTGTTCATTTTTTTGTAGTACCAGTAGCATACAGCAATACCAGGCTTGACAACCGAGTTGCATTGGCACGTTTGAGCAAACTTAGCTAACAACATCAATGCATCGATGCGTCAACTAATCATGTTAGATTTTTCTCGCCTAAACACAGCTCTGCTATCCTTTCGAAAGTCAGCATGAAATTCTACTTACGATTTCTTAGATACTTTTCAAAGAATAGATGCATGTATTTTCTAACTTCATCATGCTTCAGGAAGGCGGGGCTTCATGACCTAGGAGGCGACTGTTCGCGCTCGCGACGCAGTCTGCGTCCGATTTGCTTGAAGTAAAGAATACCTCTAAGCTTGATTGCTTTTGCCTATCCCCTCTGATGCCGAACCTGTCTCGAGGAACTCTTGTTCAATCGCCATTTCAGTCTCACGAGCTGCATTTGGTCAGAATATGCCGGCTGTAGTTATCGGCACTGCAATACTTGTCATACCCCTTTAGGCCCTGGGCAGAGCTCACGCGACGAAGTCGCGCGATCTCCATTCGCGACGACTTGCACGAAAGTGGCGATTGGGACGCGACGATTGAGTCGCTCAGTCGCCGGAGGCGTGCATACCTCCGACGCGATTTCATGCAGTTGCACAACACTTCACACATTGCACGTACTCTAATTCATTAGTGAAAATCAGTGCTCTCGCTGACTTTATGTCATTCAAAAAAGGTGTAACAGCAGACAAAGGAAGTTCGAAAGTTTATCAAATAGCATGCGATTTGACACCAATCACAACTATGCACCCAAATGATCAACAATAGAAGGAGAAGTCAACGACATCGTGGTTTTGGAAAAAGAAAAAATTGCTCATAATCAAATGACTGTTGGGAAGCATCAAATAGGAATAGGAAACAAATATCAGCAAGGCCACCAGTGGCTGCGGACATTCCGAAAGAACCGTCACGCGGCAAAACGATGTTTTCAGCTCTAGAAACATCATTCATATGCTGTACATGGTAGACGAAAATACTGCTATTACCTCCTCAGACACTCGTTCCGGCCGGCGACCGCGCGATGACCGTCTGGAACAACACCGATATTTCGGCCGGGTCGGTCGACGGACGGACGTCAGCCGGTCAGACATTCGCACCGGCCGGCGACCGGGCGATGGCTGTCTGGAGGGACATCGTGATCCGTGTCGGGAGTCCGTGCGCGCTAGCCGGCCGGAGATGGCAAGATCGCCAGCCGGTATGCGAGAGCGGCGCAACCAAATGCCACTGAGCCACATTATTTTTCCAGCAATGTAATCTCAGTGCAGGGTTCTACGAATCTACATTAACATATTTATTATAACCACAAGATACAATGCAACGAAACACGGGAAAAAGAATGTTGCACACATCACAAAAAGTACATTTGACTACAAAGCTAGTGACTTCTTATCTGATATGTGAAAAGATCATATGACGCAGTAGGTTGTTCACATATCGTTGGAAAATCCCATGAGCAGTAGGTCCACATATCGTTGGACGTTAAAATTGCGTCGGTAGGCCACAGAAAGTTCCAGTACGAACTGTTTAATGCTACACTTAAAATAATAAGCTGTATTCGATAACCTGTAAATGGAACATGAACAAGCTATTGACAATTTCCAATTGACACTAGAACTTACATGCTATGCATAGAGATGCGAAATGCTTGTTAGTACAGCAAATCCAAAAATATAAGCATTACAGTGGACATCTAGAATAGAGATTTATTTTCTAGAAAGCACTGCAAAGCTAGTTTGAAATGATATTCAAAAAATTTACATTTTTCAAAATGCCTCCAGTATTCGTGACAGATTAGCAGAAATGTGGTAATATCAGTAGCTTCCAAATTCAATATGTTGCCAACATAGAAGCAACCGGCAGATCAGATGTCCAGATAGATCTTATAATACTCAGCACAGCAGTGGCAGTCCAAAAATAAAGTAGAAGTATATTAAGAAGCACCTAGGCCATATTTGATTTTATGAATAACAGTGTCAGTTCCATCAGAGAACAAGAACACAAACACCAGCCATATTGCAGCTGTCTTGTGAAAAACCTTTGAACATTCAATATTCCTTGTACCCAAAACGCTGAACATGAACGCATGAACACAGAAGCCTCACAGCAATTGGGCAGAATTCACAGATGCTCTGCTTCTTCGCCATACAAATCTAAAAGAGCAGGAAAGTAGAAAGAAGAGATCATAATAAGAGATCATCATCGATTATGTCAAAACCTGAAAAACTCTTGGCACAGGTCGAATAGTTTTCCAATAATTTCCTATGTTCATGCAGATCCGCAATACCTTTCTCGACAACCTAAAAGAAGTAGTATGGGGAAAAAAGTGAGGAATTATGATAATGATGGACGGAGGGCAGGCGTTATGGAGCAAAGCTACACCGCCTTTCCCTGCGGCATATCCTGGGAGCCATTTGCGTTGCGTCGCCTTCAATTGCGCAGGAGTAGCGCTGTTCCTGCCAGCGAATTGAGCCATCTATTACTACGACCTGATATGTTCGAACCGTATAAATGCAATAAGGGAAACAAAAAAGACTGCACTCCCTTTTATTGGAGACAATTCAGGAATTCAAAAAATAGATGAATTCTAGGGGTGAATCAGAGGCTGAATCTGGGATGATCCAATGCTGGATTTGAGCTCAAAGTGTTCAAGAGATTTTTCCGTCAATAACTTTCCAAGAAGAATTAACATCCTCATCTTTTACTTTCTGCTGGCTTGCTTTGCAGACACTTCTTCCTCATATTGTATATTTGATTCGCCTTTGAAATGTGTTTATCATTCACATTTTGATCTCTTCATTTATGAAGGATGAGGAAAATGGCTCGACCGCTCGGTAGTGCTAGCTCCTCTGCGACTGCAATTAGAAGCGACGCAACGCAAGGGGGCCTTAGGGATGTGTGCCACAGGCAAATGCGGTGTAGCTTTGCTCCATAACGCGGCGCCGCCATGATGGACTACATCAATTTACATACTCATAACCCAAACTTCTAACAATGTGACCCCAAAGCATAAACATAATCTTTCAAGGCGGGACATACGTAAATACGGCACAAATGAGTGGAAAACGCAACAATAATAGGGAAATGATAACAACGATAATAAGCGAGAATTAGCTAAGGCAAGCCTGGCGCTTGGCGGGCTCAATCTCGCGACGTTTGAAATTATTTCCTTACTGTATGCGCAGTCCTTCGCGCTTCTCGTGTTTTTGCACAGTGGAACGGCCACCGGCCGGCACGATCACTTCGTCCGCTCGCCGGCCGGTCTTTAGCCCCGCCCTTGAGGTTGGCGCGGCCGCCGGCCGGTCGCCGGCCGGTACGTGTGTCTGAGTCATGCAAAGCTCTATCTCGTAGTTTGCTACATACTATCTCAACGTAGACTGTGAGCACATTCTTTAAGTATTCGATGCGCAATTGAACAGGGTGGGGCTTCTCTTTGGCACCTAGGGCATATGACATATAGCAAAATGTAGATTAGAAGATGGGAAAAAATGCAAAATGAAGACTAACTGCCCTCATCAAACATTGCAAGGATAGGCATAATGTAGCATTTGCAACAGTTCATGCGAAAACACTCACAACCCGCAAAACAACAGCAACATCTTATATATAAAGCTGAATGTCTGTCTGTCTGTCTGTCTGTCTGTCTGTCTGTATGTCTGTATGTCTGTATGTCTGTCTGTCTGTCTGTCTGTCTGTCTGTATGTCTGTACGTATGTTCCGGATAGAAAATTCCATTTCTGAACCGATCGGGACCGAACTTGGCACACATACACTTCGGGCCCCGGCGGGTGTCATAGGCTACTTTTCGTCATCGATCGATATTGATTTTATCGATTTTTTGCAAAATTTGAGCTACAGGGCTGGGAGTTGGCACAATTTGGCAGCGGGGTGTAATCGAGCATGGTGATCACCCCCGTGGGGGGTGATCACCATGCTCGATTACATCCCGCTGCCAAATTCCAGCCCCCTAGCTCAAATTTTGCAAAAAATCGTTAAAATCGACATCGATCGATAACGAAAAGTGGACTGTGACACCCGCCGGGGCCCGAAGTGTATGTATGCCAAGTTTGGTCCCGATCGGTTAAGAAATGGAATTTTCTATTCGGAACATACGGCGGAGCCGGGTAAGCCAGCTAGTACAACAATAATATCAAAAATCCAATTCAGGATGGGCGCGACGGTTGCGCCGTCGCTCGCCGCATACGATCGACGCGACATCGCGCCGATTCGGCAAAATCGCGACGATATTGCCTGGCAAGCTATGAACGCCGAAAAGGGTGGCGCGATCCGTCGCGCCGCGCAGCCATCACAAACGCGTCGGGACCCACACACTAAACAGCGTGGCGTGGAACACTTGTCCAATGTGATAGGATGCGACGCGACGAAATCGCATGAGCTCTGCCCACGGTCTTACGTTTTGACAATGGTTCTTGGCGTATTCGTTGTGATTGCAGTCATACGACTGTGTAAGATCAAATTTAGTCCTGCTGCATCTAATTTTGGAACAAGTGGGATACCCTAGTGTTCACATGTATGGATGTATATAACATGCTCTTGAGTGAGAAATAAAGCAAAACATAACGTGCAGAGTGTTGCGCGATCAGTTACTACTTAGTGAGGTTGTTAGCTAGCACGTTTTGGACCGTTGTTGCACATGGTGCATCACGCAAATTTGAAAGGTCTTTTTGAACTGCACAAGAAATGTTGTCATGGACAGAAGATGTCAAATTGAAGGCCTAGATTCCTGCTTTTGCAACAACTTTGTGGTGCTGTGCTGCAAATATTTGTTTAGGACATACAATGACAAATCTAAACAGTTGCGAATAACGTGGCAATGCGAAGTGCACCGCATTTTAATCTGCTTCTTTCTTTAGGAGGAAAACGTTAAAAAACAGAGAAGTGTCCCTCACTTTTATGAAGTTGTCAATTTTTGGAATGACGCCTCATTGGAGAATTCAACAACGAATATGTGCTCTAAAGCGACTTACAGATCGTCATTTATAATGAAGAACTGCCCCAATTCCCTACAGAAACATTCAGTTTAACCCAAAATGTAGTCTCAGTCTTTGAAGAACTTCGGAACGAAATTAGACATATTTCAAATTGTACTGCGTGCTGCCTACAGACCGTTACTTGTGAAAATTTCCCACAAACCTAAAGAAAAACCAGTCTTTCAAAACAATGCCTTGAAAATGCACCACGTGCCGCTATGACCGACATCCATTTAGGAGAAAGTCATAGCCTCTGCCGTTCCTTGAAGAACTTCGGCAGCGAAAATAAACTTTTATTCAATTTGTTTTCTTCGCATTCGCATTCAAATTTGAACTCGCAAGATCCTTCCCAGGTAAACACCGTCAAAGGTCAGCGCGACCCAGTTACGTACACGCACTCTCATCCACAGGCGAAAGTAAGATTCTCTCCATGCAAATGTTTTCGAGGCATATTTCACCGCGAGTTTAACAAGAATTTTAGTTGGGATACCCGGCTTTGCTCGGTCCTTGTCAAACATAACATTACAGGAGGACTTACTAGTCCCTCTTACTTCTATAGGATTTCGCTGTCCTTGCCAATTTTCTATGCCAGTTTCCTGCCTCGTTTTTCCAGGCTGCGTCCGGGCAGATACGAAAATGTAGAGTATAGGGCCCGTCTTATTAAGGCTCTTGCTCAAATGGCAATGCACGAGTTTGCTTTTGAAGCGAGAAATCCGTTTCGGAAGTGGCGACCGGAACGCCCCGGCGACGCAGAGTGCGCTTACCGCACACAGTCAAGACGTATGGTCCCACAAAGACTCCGCGTCTTAACCTTGGTGTATCAAGAGCTTCTGAAAAAGCCCGTTTTCGGTGTTTTCGTGCCCTCCAAGCTGCATTTTCACAAGCAGAGGAATAAGTCCAGGTAAGCGAGAAAAATTCTATTCGAAATTTTGCTCGAACGCTGCCTTTAATCGCCATGCTGACTTACGAGGTGTGCTAACACCCAGCTCCGTAGCTTGAACTTGACCAAAAATTGATGGGACAATGAAAGTGATGGGCATTTTCACAAACGGTTATATATTCTTAATCAGCATGTCACATACCTTCCTACGCCACTCCCCCCCCCCCCCATAGGTCGAACATTGCAAAAAAAATTGTTAAATTGTTGTTTAGTTTGTAACCAGCGTGCTCTCTTACTACATGTGCCTATTCTCAGCCCCGTTGTTTGAACTTTGCCAAAGATCGATAAAATTGACAAGTATTTGATAATTCTGAGTATGGTTGTATTCGGACAGCATGCATGCTTACACTGCGCCGACTCCGCGCGCCGTAGCTGATTTTGCGGCTACGGCGCGCGGAGTTGGCGTTGGATAATTAGCTCCCCTTTGAAACGAGATTCTTATACGTTTCAAAGGGGAGCTAATCATCCAACAGTCAAAGCTCCCGTGCTTAAAAACAACAGGATCAAAAATTTGGTCCGGACTTACGGACGGCAGCATCGTAAACGAAAAGACATTCATATCTGCCAACGACAAGTGCACCATTTCATTTTTTACAATGTAGAAGAGTCATTCTGAGAGTGGCACTTGTGAGAAAGCACACGTTGAACATGCCAGTCGTTACCAACTTGATGGTGAAGCGGATGAGCATGTGTGGAGGTCAGGTGTATGTATGTTCAACGTGTTTTACGGTTTCCTTTTTGCTTTCTGTCCCAAGACAAAGCCGTTGCTCTCTAGCGCATCTGCGCACGCCTTAGCCCAAGTGGGATCTGCATTTCAAAGTTTCAGTTGTTGCCGAGCACAAGTAAGAAACAAAATTATGTTCACGTGTGGCTACCTTTTGCAGCTTGCAAGCGTTCCGATTGCCTTATCTTGTATAAAGTTGAATGTCTGTTTGTCTGTGTGTGTGTGTCTGTACGTATGTTCCGAATAGAAAATTCCATTTCTGAACCAATCGGGACCAAGCACACATACACATCGCAGGGCGGGTGTCATAGGCTACTTTTCGTTATCGATCGATATCGATTTTATCGACTTTTTGCAAAATTTGAGCTACAGGGCTGGGAGTTGGCACAGGGGGATAATCGAGCTTGCTGATTACAAATATATTATTGACAGGTCCGGGCGGAGCCGGGTCTGCCAACTAGTTGTTAAATATTTTAGCAATCACTTCTGATTTTCACAGGCAAAAAAATGTTGCGAAATATTGTTTTTGGCTGTAGTACCTATGCAGATTTCAAAGCAAATCCTGTGGAGTATGCGGATACTATGTCAAGAAGTGGCTCATCAAGAACTTTGAGGGTTGAGGACACCGCCTTTTATCCAACTCTTTCCTAATTTCTAGCGATAGAGAGGAAAAGAAGAGCCGGTGATTTCTGACACACAAGGAGTGAATGGTGTTTTTTTGTTTATTGTGGATACTGCAGAAATTTGCTACAGATATGATGTGTGATATGTGCTACGAATATTCCAGTGTAACAACTACTTGAAGTAACTGTTTTGTGTGCATTAAAAGAAATTCATGCACAAAGTTGGAAACGTTTGATGTAAATGTGCCTTGAAACCAAGCATATTCAAATCCTTCCCTCTGGATCGCACCTGCACTGTAGAAACATTCCCGTGTAGAATTTACATCTTCCACTTGAATATCCCTGAAACATTACATAACGTAAGATATTTTTGACCGACACTGCAAGTTTTGTTTATGAGCAGCGCAAATTTTTACTCATGACTTCACAATTGCGAAAGCATCGGAGAACCCATTTGCATAAAATATATCCCCGTGGAGCTCAAACTTAGGCGGAAATTTGCTTTTGCTTTTTTACTGTAAGAGAAGGACGAAAATACAATCGAGCAGCACAGAAAGGCAGGATAAGTCTAAGATGCGCAGTAAAAAAAGAACTGGGAAGAGTTAGGAGTAATCACAGACTGGGATATTGTGTGCAACTAAAGGCAGCGGCCAGGCAATTTTTCAACCAAAAGCATTCTCGCTTGTCTGGGCGATTTTCTCGATAGGGGAGCATGCTAAGCAATCGGACTTGGTCTGTTTTCATACTAGGGTGGTAAGCAACCCGAGTAGTCTAACATATCAAAATTAGAAAAGTTTCATTTTGGTGAGTCAAGCCTTTTATATACCACTCTCGAGTTGAAATAGTTTAGCAGATAAAAAGACCTTTTGTTTTCATTTCCTTGCAAGGACCAGGGGGAGGGACACTCTGCTACCCGAGTATGGGAGTTTTCCGGAATTGGTACAGTAAATCTGTGCAAGTATGGACCTCGATTGTGAATAATGAGCGTGTTTCTAAGCATTCTCTTTTCAGTTTCTGGATATCTCAAAATCTGTTTAGTTCGCGCCACTGTTTAGGCCAAGACTACTGCATGACGAAGGCTCAGAAGCAGTACTAGTTGAGCGGACGCGAACTCGGCACCCGCGTATTCTCACCGTTTGAATTCTGCGCCTCATGCGCTCTGCGGCTAATAGAGCCGCATTCGCGTCTAAAGATATTGCGCCTTTGTCATGCAGTAGCGTATACAATTTTTTTGGCATTGCTTTTAAAAGTCTGAAGTATAGCAAAGAAATTTCCATTTCGTTGCTGCGCCTATTCAGTAAATTAATCAATACCGTAATCTTCAATACTGTCCCCACTTTCAACCTCAGTACACCTTAAGCTTTCATTGGATTTATAAGCCCAAATATGATTTCCTTACTTTGCGAACACAAGAGTCCCGACACATTTTGTCGGTTTGCTCGGTACAAGGTGTGTCCCGACACATTGTGTCGGTTTTGACAAAAGTTGCGTCGCTTGTCATAAGAATAGAGAACAGAAGAAAACTGATCAAAAATAGACTCATGTTTGTAGAAGGCAGAAGCGCTTATCCTCACCGACTGTGAATATAGAATTCTGCAGTGTCAGGCACAAGTTTTTCTTATATCTCATAGATTTGATGTGAATATTGAAATAAACATTTGGTTTGATGAGCCGTAAAATGGCATTTCTTACAGCGTTGTAACGACATAAGTAGCAATAAACATCCGTTTTTATATCCACCATGCATGCTTGTTTGTGTCGAAAAACGAACCATAAAATAAGAGCTAAATCATATTGGAAAACTTGACGTATGGAAAGTAAATGGTTTTATGAGTTTTTTCAGAAATGTCTTCGGAATGGCAGTTGCTAACAGTTCCTACGCCGCTTACGTATTCTAGAAGGAAAACCACGTTACCGAGATGGTTAATTCGTTAATCGCAAGCTTTTATCATTTTCAAAACAATAAACCTTCGGATCTCTTACTCGCTCACTCATATGTATTCCACACAACCGTTCTGACTCATAATATGCAGCTAGTCTGCCAGTGTAAGTTGTTCTGCTAACAAGGGAAGGATACCAACATTAGTCGGCGATTGAGAATGAGATGTATATCAGTAGATGCGCCCTTGCTGATTCCAAATCTGCTTTACCTTTTTGCGGAGTAAGTTTCCGAAAGAAGTTGTGGGCGTTCAAATTTCCACATTTTTTTCAAGGTTTAGGTGGCCTAAAATTGGCCAAAAGCTGTACAAAAACACCGGAAAGTGGAAACTCATTTTTGTATCGAGTATATTGTTTGCAAGGAAGGAACAGCGCATAGGTGTTGTTTCAAAGCTTTTCGCTGATTTTGAGCCACTTCATGCTTGGCAAATCTCGACATTTAAACGCTCATAACTTCTTTCGGAAACTTATTCCGCAAAAAAGGAAAGCAGATTTGGAATCAGCGTTCAAAGGCGCGTCTAATGGTATACATCTCATCTTCAGTTGCCAACTAATGTTGGTATCCTTCCGTAAGAAATTACAGTGAGGTATTATCTACGTTGCTTCAGTGTATTGGAGAGCTGCATGACAAGTAAGCTTTGTTTTTTGTGATACTTAGCTGTCTCTCAATTGAAGGCCAACACCGTCACGTAAGTTTACTTAATGCCTTTCATGATGGCCAATGCGAGATAAAGCACTGGTTCTCAAATATGGGTGCTGTATTTTTTTCCAAGATGTCGCGAAAAAATAAGTTTTATGCTTTGTCAAAGCGATGTTGTATTGTTTCCCATGGTAACCCCTTCAAACACCCACTTAGCGATAAGCTGACCTCATCAAAAGCACTACATATAACTTAAAATCGCACATCTCATGCTCGATGGAGGAAAGTTCGACTGTCATAAAACCGTCGGCCAATTACCGCTTTCATTTCAGAGCACTGTCCCTGAGTTGAAGGCAGATCGTAAGCCAAACTATGCCAGGTGGTGTGCGAAAGCGGCGAATTGAAAAAAAATGTTGGTAATCTGCTCGTAAGTAACTTACGGAACATGTAATGCCAGCACAATGAATGCGCAATTTGGGAAATTTCGAGGGCTACGGGGAAAAAGTTGATGAATAATTGGCAGCCATGGATAGGGGAAAAATTTTCAATTTTTGCGTAGTGTGTTGAATTTTTTAAAGAAATAGCTTAGAATGAGAAAAAGGAAAAATTGGAAGTATGGAGGTGTAGTTCATCATCATTTTGGTTGAAGCAGGTAGTTCTGAATTTCTAGTCAGGAAAAGAACAATGCCGGTATCTATAAATGTCTGATGTGGACTGTATATGTGCGAAAGAGTAAGGGATGCGTAGGGCTTTTTTGAGCAAACATATAAAATTCTCCTCTTCAAAACCTAGCTCCTAATGGATCGAAGCTAAGCGAATTTGCATACGTTATCTCAAAGAGCTTGCTTTGCCTTATCGAATGATCCTCTGAGACTACAAAAAAAAGTTTATGACTAGTTCAGTAAAATGAGAGTACAACAAAACTTATGTTATGACCATTATTAACATCTTTTATGTATATTATTATGAACTAATCACAACCGTGAATTTCCTCACCGTAGGATTTTATGTTGTACTTACCATGGAATTATTGTAGCAGTAGCGATGATAAATATTTCTCCACAGTATGGAGCAATGCAGATTTTATGGTCAAATCCAGACTGCGATATTCTCATTAGCCTGGGAGTAAACTTGCGAGACAAACGCAAATGGCAGCGAGTTTGTTGTGACCATGATCTAAAAGTTGGCCTGTTCTCGCGACAACTCGTCCTTGCACGTAGCCAAGAGGAAATCAAGCTTATGTCGAAAATAAAGTCCAAGTCTTTCATCAAAGCTTGGCGATCGGCTTGTAAATTTGGAATGATAAACGCAGTCAGAGAAATAGCGACCTGAACTTATTGATCAAATTCTTAACCTGCATGAAGAGCTAGGTGGGTGTTAATGCATAAGTGAACAAAGTTTATACCAGTTGAAAAAGCGAAAACAAAAGGAAAGTTTAGAGTTTCTACGTTTTGGAATTTTATTGCTTTGAAAAGGTATCGGTCCATACTATTATAACGAGGTGATTTTGAGGAGTGAAATGTGAAAAGTTCAACTCAAAAAAATACTACGTACAAAAGGCGTTTGATTACGGTAATTATTAGGTTGAACACAAAGTTTTGCAACTGGTTTCATAACTTCACTCTCACTCAACATGGCGCACTCAAACTTTGACGTTATGTAGAACACAATGTGTGCTACAAGTGAGCACAAATTGTCTAAATTTTGAACACGAAATAGAAAAGCAGGCATTTTTCGAAAACTAGTGAAATTTGAGAATTTTTGAGGTTTCAAGCTAAAATGAACCCTTTAGCAGCCTAGACCATGCGCAGTAATCCGGATTCGTCTATAAGTTATTGCTGGAGGTTGACTCCTTTGGTCCTTTGGCCTAGTAAGAAAGAAACAAAATTTAGGGGCATGTCGAGATTTGGCGTCCTTACAAAATCGAACGTGTCGATGTACGCAAGAGCTGCTAGGGACGACCGTCAATGACAAAGAGTCCGAAGCTCAGATTTCGCAGAGACTTCACATAGTAAGGTTATGTGACCTGCCGAACGCGAATATCATATTCATTTGTTGAATCAACGCCTTTTTCCTTGTTTAGGGTGAGACCCCATATCGTACACCTACAGTAATCCTATAAAAAAGCCCTTATCACGCAATTTCACTATCGTTTTCGTAATCAGCATGTCGGATAACACCCCTATGTCAAGTTTCAGCCAAATCCGTCAAACTTTGAATTTTTCCCTTCATACCATGGACCTACCGTAACCCTCACTGCGACGTCCGAATTTGGTAGGACAGCAGCTGCGTTTGTAGCTTACGTAATAACCAACACAGTGGCAATATTTGAGTGCGCCATGTTGAGTGAGAGGGAAGTTATGAGACCAGTTGCAAAACTTAGTGTTCAACTCAATATTTGAGTTACGTCGAATTGAAAATAACTCGCGATCTCGCTATTTCAAGCTGTTTGACTTGAGAAAAAACATCGAAGGTACATTGTTCAAGATAGAGCAATGCATGCTCTTTGCAATGACCCTAGATTCTTGCTTAGAGCGTAGGCATCTAGAATTGCAAACCAAAGCTAGAGTATTTAGATCAGAAACTGATTTTCCTCTAAAAACCCTATAACCCTCACTACCTAATAAACATTAAAATCTCCAAAAATGCCTCGAAAGTTGGTGAGGTTTTAAAAGCTCCGCTTTGAAACCTTTGAAAGCTGCACCATGCGAATTGTACCCATATATGTGCCTAATCCCAGAATTACATCTAACTCAGAAATCCAAAAAAGGATATCCTCGGTATTTTTTTTTCGATGCAGCGCAAAAAAAAAGATAATTGACGTGAATGTGTTATACGACAGCCCTTGAGGGATCAGGAGTCTGTTGAACTTTTGGTTCAGGGATCCGAATTCGGGGATTGTTTTTGAAATTAGATTCAAACGTTACGTGGTATATGGACTGTGATGCTTATGTTGTGAGCCTTGCTGTCTTCGAACGGTTTCATTTTTTGGTATTCACCCTTTCAGCATGAAAAGCAACAATATTTTCCTAATAGCACAACAAGCTTCTATCTCCTGACAAAAAAAATGGAAATGAGACGCCTATTATTGACAAAACTAGCTCTCAATTTTCACCTTACTAAGCAATTTCATTAAAAATTATGCAGCAAGCATTGATAAAATGTTCCAACATTTGCTGTATTCAAAAAGAATAAAGCTCATAAATTCCATTTTTAACTTTGATACAACCATTACCGAGTATCGATACTTTGAATGGCCCTTGAAATACCATTTAGCACTGTTAAACACATTGACGACGGCGTGGTCACATGGTCGAATCATGTAATGTGGCCACCTGGGACAATGTGACCCACATGGTCACGGCTTATTGTTGGGAAGACTGCTATCTGGAATACATTCGTTACAAAAATTCCCTTACGCCTTACCCTAAAGATTGCTCTTGTGTTTTTCGTCTGTTTCATAGAAATACTGTAGGCATACTGTAGTTGACGATCTTTATAATTTTGGGAAGGCAATGTCCCAAGAGACGGACAACTAAAAACGCATGTTGCTGTCAACGAGTTAACGAATTATGTTCTCCCGAGCTGCACTCATGTTCACAATGAGTAATCGGGATGTTTGGTGGACATTACATATTAGGTTGATTCATAATTAATGCACGTTTTTTATACTTCAATTTTGAACTATAATAATTCTTTTTGAAAAGACGTTTCTGGGCGGCGTAAAAACTACTGTAACCAACAAATCTTTGACTATGCAATAGATATTTTTGCATTACTGTAGCTTTCACAGGAAAGATTTTCTAGCCTGAAAATTGCCAACAACTTTTTTCGGAAGCCTCAATTTTGAGAGAGCATAACTTATGTTGCAATGAAGTAGGATGAAGCACACTTCGCATCGTGTAGCCAAGGGTCTTTTGAGCGGTAACGCCAAGTTTGGGTTTTACAGAAAATTTTTGCGAGAAAATATTGCGGAAAAGTCGAAAGTACTCACTTTTTTCTGGCATC